CCATCATTTCCTTCACAACCTGGAATATCAGATACGCCTACAAAACGTGAGAGGATTAGAATGAGATGAAAAAGATGGCATACGAAATAAATGTTTCTTACCATTATGTGGGGATCCGAAAGTAATCAAGTTGTACACTGGTGGATCATTGCAACGTTGGACATATGCGCTTTGTTTGATAAGGAATTACTTTAAAAAAGGGAAGTTTGAAGATGGACAAATGAGAGTGACAAGCTTACCGAAGGAACTGACCACCCTTAATAAACAAATAATGAAGCCAATTAAAAATAAAAACAAATGTCGATTATTAATTTTAAAGTTTTATAATAAACCTTACTTGAGAAAATCCAATGGCATTGAAACCGTATTTAAGATTTTCATCATTTTTCAATTTCTCACATACACTATCAATCTATACAAATTAAAAAAAAAATTTAAAAGAATAATATGACTAAAAGAAACATAAGCATTAATTATTACCTCTTCGTTAATGTTACCAAAAAAACTAGCTTTTTTATCCTCACTTTCATCTTCGCCGAGCATTACTGAATATGTGTAAATTCCGGGTAAGGTATCTTTGATGATTTCCTGTATCTTACCCATGCTATCAGGATTGCAACACGTATCTCCCATTCCATGCCAGATTACAACAGGTCGATATAATGCTATGTACAAAATTAAAAAATAAACAGAAATTAAGGTAATTTTCAGCATTTGTATAATTAGCATAATTTGTTACAAACCTTTTACATAGCCGGTTAATACGAGTTGAATTAGAATGAAGATTACAAATCTTGTCAAATATTTCATGATAGCCGATAGTGTAAAAATAACACAAATATACATCAATGTCATTATATATAATTCATTTGGTGGAACTTTCTTTCAATTGGTTGATTAATTAATAATTGCAAACCATGTTCACTCTTTTTGTAACAATAACGATATGGAAAATGATAATAACATTTATGCTTATACTTATACTACAATTTACATTTATTTTATTAATAATAATAATAAAAACGCCATTTTTACTAATCTTATCTATAATTATTGTTTCACACATTATATCTTTTCGTCTAATTTTATACAGTATGATATGTAAATGACATGACAGGACATGTGGGTATGTGCCTAATGATGATACAACAGGATTAGGAAAAGGAGGTTACTTAATTGCTTAATTGTCACGTAGCATATAAAATAAAAATTATTTTTCTATGATCACGATTCGTGATGATTAATCAACTTCCTTTTTTAATCCTATTGCTAAATGCAATTTATATCTCAAAAACCGGCAATCCATGCAATCGCAAAAATGCTTCCTTTTAACCCCTAGCCCCTAACTCTAAATTTAATATATATATATATAAATATATAAATATATACGTATAGATGTATATGGTTCTGAATTGCCTATGAGAGTAGGCGTATTTGTAACATGAATTTTAAAATATATAAAATAAATTAATGCTTGGAACAAGTCACAAAACAATTAGGTTAAACAAAATTTTATTTCATCAATAACATTGTACAACGCATCTGGTCTCGTCCGATAGCAATCGGTGAAATTCTGAGTGGTGATTTTATACATACTTTTAAAAATTCTTTGTTATTAATTTACAATAACTCACTAATAAATATGTATGTGCGAACTAATAAAAAAATCTTACCTATTTATAATTTTTACAATTAACAAAATTGGAATTGTTTTTCCTCTTATTGATCTATTTTTGTTTTGGGAAAGTACATTCGGCTCGTGCAACTTTTTTATAACGATGATCTGTTAATCGTTTTTTCTTATTTCCTAATTTTTTTTTCATTTTTTTTTTTTTATAATATAAAAATATTTATAGAATCATATCTGCGTAACTAATATTTGAAGGCTGGTTTACGACTAAAAAAATTCTTAAACTTTTAAAAAAAGATGTTGCCGTTTAAAAACGCAAATAAGGATTTATCCGAAGAAACGTTAATGAAACTTTCAAATTCTTCAACTACTATCACTACTTCAGCTATGGATAATGAATCCTTATGGATTGATGGAAAATGGATAAAAGATTCTACTGACCGTACTTTAATGTTTC